AGGAGAAGGAGGAAAACTTATCGGCTGTAGAAACGGAGCGCAGAGACCACCATTACCATTCTTAATTAAAACGTTCTGGTTCATTTGACGCGCCGCGGGTCGCTATACTCTTTACTCGTTGGCATTGATACGTTCGGCTCGCCGTTGCGTAACATAATCTTCTTAGCATCAAGCTGTTAACTGCGTTACGATTTCCGTCACGGACCTTTCGCGAACTCGCTGGAAATCGAATCGCGGCGTGTTCTCCCGTTCTCCCGTGTTCATTTTTATCACCGATCTCGATCTAGGAACTCTGTTCTAACTGCGTCGGTAACGTAGAGTATACGTGTGAAGTGGAGGCGATTCTGCGAAAAATAAGTCGAAAATAAAGAATAAAATTTTTTTCTTGTTTATTTTCGAGAAAGTAAAAGAAATACACTTAGGCGTCCCTGTGTCGGAAGTGGAGATTATTCTACGTGAAAAGACTAAGTCGATAATGTAGAATAAAATTGAACTTGGAACGAGTTTAGAAAATAAGATATGTCTATAATTTCGAAACTTACCGCTATTAACGTAGAAATTGTTGGAAATGCTGCATACACAACCATGTTCTGCGAATCATGTTTGCGTATCCTGTGTTTTCTTTCGATTTTCTCTTCCAACTGCGGCTTCAGGCTGCGTAAATTTTTGACGTTGTGTGGCCGTATACATAAAAATTCAGATCTACAAGGCTTAGAATTTTACTTATTGTTTACTTCGTTTATCATTTCTCATTATTCCATCGTTATACTGTTTATTGTTTTATTTCATTAATTTATTATTATTATTTTTTCACCGTAGAATCACCTCCGCTTCGCATGTACCACCGATGCTGGGACACCCTGTATATACTCCAACGCTGCAGAATTATACACAATTCGATTAGGTGACGCAGTCAAGTATGAAAAATTGTCAGACCACGGACGAGACCGCGATGAAACGATCGGAGCCGCAAGACGTGAATAATGCAGATCAGAGGCAGATCACGTACTTAAAAGTGGCTGACTATCCGGCCATGTCGAGTAACGCCGATCTGTCGAAGATCCCGAAACGAAAGTTGTCCGTGTTCTACCGATCGTTCGACGTGATCGCGCAGATCGACCAGGAGGAGAAGGAGACGCAAAACGCCGCAGACTTTCGACGAACGTTCAGCAGCCCGTCCGTGAAGATCGAGATGGCTGGAGAGGAGGACGCCGACGATCAGATCGATCGACAAGCAAACTTGAAAGAGTGGAGGAGGAGAGGCTTCGCCGACGACGAAGAGAAGCTCTCGAGCGGCTCTTTGCCACACGATCGACTCAGAATCGGTGGAAAGTCGAGCCAAGTTTCGAAGGCCGATCCACTGTCGCCAGTGACATTCAAGTTGCCTCAAGTTCTTCGGCAAGGCACGATCACCGAGGCGAAGTCGATCGGGAAACGTTGCAAGTCGAACGATAATGAGAATCGCGAGCGCAGAGTAAGCGCCGAGTATCCCATCGATTATGACATCGAGGGCGACTCGGAACGAGTGCAATCCTCATCTAAAACATTTGTTTCCAAAGAAGCAGAGGAGAATTTTTCTTTAACTCTTCGACTCTTTTTCCGAGCGGAATTTATCGTATCGCGATAGACACGATGTTTATACAATTAGTAAAAAAAAAACAAAAGGAAACTAAACGACATGAATTTGTTACGTGTTCGTCGAATTAACTCTTAATGGTTATCCTGCTGGTATATTTTCTCCTCTGAAACATACGGATAAGCAGGAAGTATGAAAAACTCAATGAGGATCGCGTTTTGTTGCGAGTTCGTCGATTAACTCTTAATGGTCCCTAGCTGGTGTTTTCTCTTCTGAAAGATATTTCAGACCGACTGAAAGATATTTCAGAGGCTCTTTGATACGAGTCGCGAGAGGAATTAACTTCGTGGAAACTCAAGCTGGATCTATATACTTCAATGAAAATATTTTCCTTGCGAATACTCGTGACGCGATGAGAAACGAATCCAGCAATATTTTCCCTTCCACTTGGAACTGGAATTCCACTTCAACTGGCGCCATAAAAATTAATCCAACGTACTTTATTCAACAATACTCATATCTGTTTGTAGATCTTTAAAAAAGCTAAACCTTCTAAAATCCTCCGCTGTTTTCTCTCTGAAGAACGACTCTGACTTAGTTAAAAGTTAATTCCCAAATTTCATCGCTCGCCGAAAATAAGGCGAAAAGAGAAAATGAAACCTTGGCCCAATTTCCAGCCAGTCACCCTGAATACCGCGGAAGAACTGTGCGTTGTATATATATATATATATATACACACACATACATATATATGTATATACATGTATA